TCTCTCTCTGTCTCTCTCACCCTCTCATTCTATCTATTTATCTCTCTTCTCTCTCACTGTGTCTCTCTTCCTCACTCTTTCTCATTCTATATCTATGTATCTATCTCTCACTCTCTCTATTTCTTTGTCACTCTGTCTCTCTCTCCCTCACTCTCTCTCCTTCTATCTATTTATCTCTCTTTCTCTCTCCCTCTGTCTTTCTCTCTCTCTCGTCTCTCTTCTCTCTCTGTCAGTGAAGCTAATGCAGTGATTAGCTTCCCGCTGTGGCGATCCCAAATGGGAGCGTTTGGGATGAGGACCGGTGCATGTCTGTTCATGTGGGAATGCCTGGCTTGTCCTCTGCTCCTGTGACTGAAACGCTCTTCTTGGATTTCTGACGTCCGTGTGCTTCCACTCTCGATGCACAAAGAATGATGCAGTGATGTTTCATAGTTTCCATGTCGTGTTGTTTTTAAACTTTTAACACTTTTTTACTCTTGTTTCTGTTCTTGTATATTCAGTGTGCATCTAGTCTGGGCGGCTACAATAAGTGAAGGGCGTCTGGTTTTAGGCTTGGACGTAACTGGATTCCTTTAAACCTGCCATTCACATTTTAAAAAGTCATTTAATATAGTGTAACAATGCAGGTCATATTAAAAAATTCTGATTTAGGGTGTTCAGATGTCCCTGTTTTCCCGGGACAGTCCCAGTTTTGAGCCCTGAGTCCCCCGTCCCAGTAGATTTATACAAAACCAGTGATTTGTCCCAGTTTTATACAAGAAATGAAAAGAAAGGTGTCCCTATTTTGAACACTTTGATAACCACCGACAGTAAAGAGTGCGGGTGTAACGGTACACAAAAATCATTGTTTGGTATGTACCTTGTTTTTGAGGTCACGGTTCGGTTCATTTTCGGTACAGTATGGGAACAAAATGCAAAACCAGTTGTTTATTAAACTAACAATTTGTTTTAACATTATACAAACAGGGAAATAAAATAAATGCAAAGTGCTGCTTGGTAATACCAGCAAGTTAAATAAAATATTCTCAAATCATCAACAAATGTATGAAATATTATTTTTTTTAAATAAGTACCTTGTAAACAGTAAATAAAACTTCAAGTTTGTGAATATTCATGTGGTTTTGGAGGGACGTTGTCAAGGCGGGGGGCAAGTGTTGTCAATTGTTGTCAGCGCTGGGGGAAACACTGCCACTCCAATCACGGACAAGTTCCCTCGTGAATATTAAAGAGCTGAGCCTCTGTGTAGCTGCACCTGTAGTGGTGAAATGTAAACAAAAACAAATTGCGTGAATTCACTCGTGCACATTCCTGCACCGAACTGAACGTCCCGTACCGAAACAGTTCGGCACAAATACATGTACTGTTACACCCCTTGTAAAGAGGGTAATATATTGTTATTTGTTTAACTAAAATACAAAAAAATTAGCTTGAAAATGACCCATAAGAAAAAAAACATCCACTGTCAGAAATCCCTCAAATTACAATTGACTCACAAAGTTAAGAAAAGACAATGTTAGGCTCTCTTTTCACAAACTTATTCATACCAACCATCCCAACCTAAGTGTGTGTGACCCTATTCTAATTTTATTCTGAAAGTTTCTATTTCTCTGGACATTTGAGCTTAATTTACCTGAATACTGAACGCTATAATTATCACTGAATACTACTTATAATAATAGGCCTACGTCTGATGTAGTTTCATACAGATTTGCCTTTTTGTTTACAAAGCAGAACATGTTACTCCCAACTGAACTTTCATCAAATAATACATTAATTATAACTGGACAAAGGCCTGTGGGATTGTAAAGTCGTGACGTCGCCTCCGGGTTCAACCAGAAAGTTCACTGCTGATTTGTAGCTCAGTTTTTGTTCCTTATTCATCAAACAAGAGACAATTACATTTCAATAGGACGACTAGATTTTCAAAATTCTAAACACACTTTGTCATGACACACCCAGGTTTGAATGGTTGGTATAAATAAAATTGTGAAAAGAGCGTGTACCATTGTGGATTCTCGTGTCAGTCATGATCTGAGGAACTTCTGACACTGCTTTTTTTTTTTTTTTTTTGCTTTATGGTCATTCGCAAACACAGATTTCTGTATTTTGGTAAAAAAAAAATAATTTAAAGTGATAATTTACACTCCTCTTTACTGTTGGCAGGGATCAGATTAGTCAAAAATAGTGATAGTCATGTTTTAGTCCTGGGTTAGTGTCAGGGTGACCAGACGTTCCTATTTACCGGAGACACTTCCAGTTTTGAGCCCTGTGTCCCCTGTCCCAGCAGATTTATTCAAAACCATTGATTTGTCCCAGTTTTATACAAGAAATGTCCTAGGTGTCTGTATTTTTGACCAGTTTTATCCCTGCAAACAGTAAAGAGAAGCATAAATTGTCATTTGTTGAGGTAAATTACAGAAAAGCTGCTTGAAAATTATCAAAACACAAAGAAAATGTGAATAAACTGACTCACATGTTTGTCGTGAATGGCCCGAGTGCAACAGTTCTTTTTAATTATGCACTCATTTCACATTTTTATTATTACCAACCACCAAAAAACCTGAGGTGTCCCAGCTTTTTAGTTTGAAAATATGGTCACCCTACTTAGAGTTGGTGTAGTCCTGGTTTAATCTTAGTTTAGTCCTGGTTTAGATCAAATTGGTCAAAAATAGGGACACCTTTCTTTTCCTTTCTTGTATAAAACTGGGACAGATCACTGGTTTTGGATAAATCTGCTGGGACAGGGGACACAGGGCTCAAAACATGGACTGTCCCGGGTAAATAGAGACATTTACCTTTCACCCTACCTTTCAAAAAACTCCTTTTAATCACACAATTGTATCAAATATAGTAATAATGTAGTAATCTATCATAACACAGGATTACCAGTGTGTATATCTCACTTCTTACCTCAATTTCACTCGTACTTTTTCTGTCACAGTTATAATTTTATCATTACTCAAATTCTTTTTTAACACAAGACATGTTTTCCTAAAAAGTAAATTGTAAACCTGTCCATTGTTCTCAATCAGTTAATCCACTATAGACCTGAAAGCGACGTCACATTTAACCCTGCACAAGCATCAGTGACTCAAATAATGTTCTTTATGCAACAAATTCATTTTAAAAACAATATGCAGACTCAAATATAAGTTCCACTAGACAGTAAATTGTATGAAAACCTAATGAAATGTCAGGTTTAAAGGGATCCAGCTTAATGCTTTTGTGTCTTTGTCCATCCCAAAGAGTTCATGTTTGTTTTTTAGACTTGACAATGTACAGAGATGCTGCTTATTTTGACATTTAAAGGGCCCCATATTACATTTTTTTTCCAATCTACTGTATGTTATAATGTTGTTTCCTCATCACAGACAGACCTGGAGTTGTGTTTTGTTTCGTTTGCACATGTTTAACGCACAAACCCTGCAGATTTAGGCTGAGTTTTGAGGTTCAGAACAACAACAATGGAAAAATTTCAGTTTCAGTTTCAATCAAAAGTGTCGGCGTATGGAACAGTCTAAATGAAAAAAATCAAAGCTTCAAAATCTATTCAAGTGTTTAAAAGAAATGACAAACGTGATATGCTGAAGAAGTATGAAGTATGAACTGTATTTATGAATTGTCCTTGGAACCGTTGAAGTGGTTTTTTGAATTTTCTTCATTATTTGTCTCCAAAACCAAAATGAAAAAACCAGATAACGATTCGTTTTTAATACGGATACAGATAACGGCCATTTCCCGTTTCCGTGACTTATACTGCGATGCCGGACTTTTGCACCGCATACGGACTGAACCAGGACTAAAACAGGACTAAACCTGTCTCAGTCCTGATCACCCAACAGTCTACGTGGGCACACCTCCAGGTCCGTCCCAACACTCAGTACTGGTTAAGTCCTGATATAGTCCTGGTTCAGACCTGGTTTAGTCCTGTTTTAGTCCTGATATAGTACTGGTTCAGTCCATATGCGATGCAAAAGTCCGGCATCGCAGTTTAAGTGACGGAAACGAGAAACGGTCATTATTTGTTTTTTTCCATTATTCATTTAAACACAAAATCTAAAACTGAAAAATCAAATCATTACCTGTTTTTTCATTTTGGTTTAGGAGACAAATAATGATGAAAATAGTGTTTTCGTTTTCTTATTTTTGGTTTTATTTTGAAAAATGACTAAACAAATGACACACAGATTACAAGTCTATAATTCTTCTTTCTGCTCCTTTTCATTCACACTGATGCATGAAACATAATTATTTAGTTTTCATCTTTCATGAATGGAACAAATGAAAAAAAGGAGTTCTTCTCTCAAACTGAAAACAATGAAAACTGAACAAAGATAAAACGAGCTGTTCAGTTGAATACTATCGCTTCATGAAAAAAAAGAGCATTTCGCCTTTTGGAAATGTAGACAAACTAATAATAAAGGATTATTCAGACGTGTGAATGAAACAAAACACAACTCCAGATATGTTTTTGATGACGTAACAATAGGGATGTAACGATAGCCAAATCTCACGGTACGATATTTATTCCGATATTTTGAAGAAGCTGATATAATTGTAGATTAGGACACTTTTTTTGCTTTTAAAATACCTTGACAAGATTTTGATGTGAATTATTTCCATCATAATCGCAAGAATTCAAGTAAAAAACATATAAATTCATGTTGTCTGCACTGAAAGGAATCCATGGGATATGTAGTTCCATATGTCTATGAGCTGTTGCTACTATAAAACCATGCATTTAAGCAAAGAAACTTGTGATTTGATATATTTTGACAGCCCACGATATTGTTTGGAGACTTTTGACGATACAGTATCACGATATTTTTGGTTTTTGTTACATCCCTACATAACAACATTCTAAATTTTGCTTAACACGGGCCCTTTAAGATCTCTTTACACATTGTCTGGCTAAAAGAAATACATTAAAACTATCAAACTTATAAGATAAAAGTTGCATAATTTCGAAATACTAAACCTGTATTTTTCTGCTTTTCCAGGAGTGACCAGAACGCCATCTTCTGTCCAACTTCTCAACTTCAAACCTCCAAAAATACAAACCTAACTGTGCATCGTGCGCCGGGACTAAAGCACGACTTGGCTTTGTAAGAACCGCAGCCCGCGCTAGTCGCCACCATACACCTGCAAAACCAACAATATCACCTTTAGCATGAAAAGGACAAAACCTGTGCAAAGAATACTCTCCGAAACTGTACGATCTGAACAAAAAAGTGGTTTCAAAAAAGTGGAGCCATCTCTTTTTTGCTTTCACTGCCTTAATATGACGTTGATGCAATTTTATGATTACTGAAAATAATATTAATTGTAGCTGCATTTTTATTTAAGAACAAGCCATCACTCCAGTTTAAAGCCGCACCGTGTAACTTTTCCGGCGTAGGGGGGTCTGCCGCCTGCTTGTCGCCATGGGGATGTTGTTGTTTTTGACTGGGATGTTCCACAGTATGGTATTCGACGTACTTGTTCTCCATGGAGGCAAGCAGGTTGAGGTGCAGGTCGGATCTGTGGAGGGGTGGACCGGCTCACTGTACGACTGTCTGTTTTTCAATGCGTTTTTTTGCAATAAAAAACACAGACCGTTCTAGTTGCCACGTTCAAAATAGAAGCTCTAGTGACAATTTACTTATTTTAACCCGCTCTACATGATCCTGGGGTTTTTATTTTGCAAATTTGTCTCTGAATTAACACAGAAACATCAATAACAGACCAATCCGGTGCCTTCTTTCCCCAAGGTTGCTTCCAACAGGTTTGACTGACAGCGTTGCTAAGCGAAAGGGCGTACCCTCAACACCCTCGCTCCTGATTGGTTCTTTGATAGGGTGACCAGATGTGCCTCTTTACCCAGTACAGACCCAGTTTTGAGCCCTGTGTCCCAGTTTTATACAAGGAATGTCCCTATTTTTGACCAATTTGTTACCCACCAACTGTAAAGAGGCCAATATATTGTGTTTTTCTTTTAGCTAAAATACAGAAAAACATGCCTGAAAATGAGCAGGCAAAAAAAAAATTTCCTTCGATGAAATACTAGGGGTGTAACGGTATATAAAAATCACGGTTCAGTACTTACTTCGGTTTTGAGGTCATGCTTCGGTTCATTTTCGGTACAGTATGGGAACAAAATGTAAAACCATTTGCTTGTTGTTTATTTGTGTTTTTATTAAACCAACTGTTTGTTTTAACATTATACAAATGGTACATTAAAATAAACGCAAAGTGCTGCTTGGTAATACTAATAAGTTAAATAAAATATTCTCAAATAAGCAACAAATGTATGAAATGTTATAAAAAATAAATTTCTTGTAAACAGTAAACAAAACTTTTCAAAAAGTAAAGAACAGAACAGTTCCAGCTTGACGTTTTATTCAGTCTTTATATTTTTGGCCAGAAAATCCAACTTGTCCACATTGTCTGCAGTAAGAGCAGATCTGCTGCAGTTACAACGTCCCCAGCGGTTGTAAATACCCTTTCGCTCGGGACAGAGATCACGTGGTTCAGAGGGACATAGTCAAGGCGCGGGGCAATTGTTATCAAGGCGGCCGCCCTAACTACAAAGCGCTGCGGGAAACACTGCCACCCCAATCACGGACGAGTTCCCTTGTGAATATTAAAGAGCAGAGCCGTCAGTGTAGCTGCACATGTAGTGGAGGAATGTAAACACACACAAACTGCGCAAACTCACTCGTGCACAAAACAGCACCAAACCGAACGTCCTGCACCAAAACAGTTCGGCACGAATACTTGTACCGTTACATCTCTAGTAAATACTGACAAGTGTGAGTCGAGTAAGGACAACGTAAATGCTCTTTCCACAATTTTACCGACCATCCCAACCCGGGTGTGTCCCAGTTTTTAATTTTGAATATCTGGTCACCCTACTCTTTGGGTTTGCGCTCAGATTTCCAAAATATGGTCAGAATATCCGCCGTAACCGCTCATTTGGTTTGGCGACGTCACGATTGTTTTATGCAGTCTATGATAAAAACTCTGCGGGAAAAATCTGTGTAATGCCATACTGCGGAACATTCCAGGCAAAGCAATAACATCCCCATAGAGACGAGTATATACTGCAGACCTTCCGCCCGAAAAGTTACCCGGCGTACCTTTATATTTGCTATAGGCTGTGTGTATATGTTACTATAAGCATAGACTATTTAACCTCCGCTGTAGAAAAGTGCCAACCTTTATTTTGCCAGCGTGCATTGCCTCACTCCTTTCTGTCCATAGGGGGCGCTACAACGTACACCAAAATCACTATACAGTATGGTCCTGCAATGTACATATCAGAGCTTATCTAGCAAACGGCAAATTAGTCTTGACCTATTTTGATTTTGTGGTATTTTATATATTTTCGGATCATTTTAACATATCTTATTTGTTTTCCATTTTATTTGTTTTGAAATTCCCACTAATGCCAAGGAATCAAGCTGGATTTTAATGTGCCTGTGCAAGAATATGTTTCGGAGGTTGTTAAAAAAAAAAAGCGACCTCTGGACATATGAGCTTTTAAACTGTGTTCAAATGCATCTCTCACCGCCGCCCACACGACCACGTCCCCCACACCACAGCAGCCAACGCATTGTTTTCATTTGCTGTTCTTCTCAAATAAAATCATGACCACAATACTAAAACTACCACGTTGTGTTTATCATTGGATCTTTTTGGTCTTTCACGTGTCCACACCTGCCACTGATGCCAGAAAAAATGAAAACTACCGTATTTTTCGGACTATAAGGTGCACTTAAAATCCCTTTCATTTTCTCAAAAATCAAATGTATTAATGTATGTATTGTTTTTTTGTTTTTGTTTTTTTTTACAATGGAATATATAACATTTGAAATCATAATAGAAATGAAAATAACAACAAAAAATGATTAGCCTAAAAAGGAGTGGGAAGAAGAAAACTTATTTAATCCCACCCCTACTCTTCATAATCTAACACAATGAGCTATGTTTTGCGTTTTTCAGATATTGTATTGTTTAATGTGATGATACAGTACATTGATATATCGCCAAGAGTATTTTTTGGTGTATTTTACTTAATTATTTTGTTACAGCGATACAGTTTTGATGTTTGTTCAGAGGAAGGAAACTCACAGCCATGATATAGCCTTTATTTTCTATTGAACTGTATCAAATCGTTTTTAAATATATTGTATCGCGGTATGCATCGTATCTGCAACTTCTTAACGATAACCAGCCCTAGTATGTATTAATTCTGGTTCTGCTTACTGACCTCAAACCGATTTTATGTGGTACACGGTGCTCAAAAATCTGTCAAAATGTTTTAGTACGACTTTGGTAAGCCACGAAGCTGAACGGTCTATGTGTATGACCTGCAGACTTATAATCTCTGAAAAGTTTCACATGAACCATCTCCAACAAGATACATGCACAAAACAGACTCACCATCAGCCGCACATCCTCTGTCGGAGTAAGTATATACACGTATATTCCAGTGAGTGGTTTCCTTTAGTCTGACAGAAGCTGAACCGCATCAGCGCACAAAGAGCGAGCTGTTTTTTTCAGCACTTATAGTTTATGCACATGAGCCATGTGGTTTTAAAACGTAAACAAATGTGCACAAAGCTGCATTAAACACATTATTACTCAATGTATATTTGAGTTCCCCTCGTAGAAAATAACAAAATAAACTTAAATTATCCACCCACATTCACATTCATAATACACATTCACCAAGACAGGGAGGCAACACTGGGCGAGTTACAACCACTATCTGCCAATGGATCATGGATGCCTGGGCTAAGGGATCGGTCTCAAGTGTCGTCCGTTTGTTTTGCTTAATGCGCCTTATAATCCGGTGCGATTTATGTATGTGCGTCTTATAGTCCGAAAAATACGGTAAGCTTGTTGGTATAGTGATAAACACAGAATAAAGTCCCATGCTGATAACAGATATGGCTGAAGCTGGAACAGAAAGTGTAACGTTTGAACTTTTATTTACACAAAGTTGTTCTGGAGTTACTTGAGAGGTAAATAACAGCTACATAACAGATTTAGATCAGTTATGTCTTATTTTATTTTTGTTTAAAGGAAATAAATGCTGTTTTCAGTCTGCTTTGGTATCAGTTGATATCGAAATCTGCAGATACTTAAAGAAATAGTATCGAAATCGGTATCGGAACTGAGAAAGCTGGATCGGCGCATTTATATCATAAATATTTGTCTTACAGTCATGCTAAGAACTGTAACGTTTTTTATATTATTTTTCATTGTTTTAGTAGTTACATTTTTTGTATCCATAAATTCCATAATGCTGAAAATGAAAGCCTGTTGCTATAGTGACAATTTAAAACAATTAATTACGTTAATATTGCAATACCATTTGAGTTATTGCTTTCCAACTAAAAATTCAATATATTCAAATATTCGGTTTTACCTGCCAATGGAAATCAACTTTATAGTCAGGGGTGTAGAAAAAGGTAAAGAACTCAAGTAAAAGTATTGTTACTTCAAAACATTAAACTACTCAAGTGTAAGTACAAAATAGTGGTCCAGTTATTACTTAAGAGTAAAAACAGTATTTGAGAATAGCCCACAGGGATACTCAAATAAGAGTAACTTAAAAGAGCAACTTTCAGGACATAATCTGATTTATAATTTGAAGTTAAAGTAATTTGGAGGACAAAATATGAAATAATGCACAAGCTCTAGCCTACACAACAATTACAAATCATATCTGAAGGAGCAAAAAACACAAATGTTCAAATCATTTTACACTGTCAACATAAAACTTTTGTCACGTTTAGATTTACTCACAGTGAAAAGAGGAACCACAACTTTTACTCAAGTACTGTGACTTCAATCAAAATATTATTAATATTTACTTCTCAAGTAGGAGTAAAAGTCTGCCGGTAGAAAAGTAGAACTTCTTTAAAAAGTTACTGAAGTTATTGTAAAAGTGAGTCCTGCCCCCTGTGCTTATAGTGAGCCTCAGAGATGTCCTTGGGTGCTGGTAAAGTCGGGGTAATTACGCGGGTAAATGGGCCGTGGATGGGCTCCTCGTGGTGTCTCGTGCTAAATGATCCGCAGTGTAAACACGGGGTTTAAAGGGGCCCCTGCGGCGGCTTCAGCGGGACTTTTACGGCTCTCGGTAATTACGCTTCACCGCTGGAAACGGGGACGGAGATGGAACCAGGAGAAGTGTCAGTGCGCCGGGACTGCGCATCTGGAGGTGGGCAAGATAAAACTACTGTAATATGTTTGATTATAGCTTTAAAATTGCATTCCAGAGGCAGAATTAGACTAGAAAGCTTTGTTTGTGAATTAGGAATGTAAATAACACGTATAATAACACATAATACACATTGCTGCAAGATTATAAGCGTTTTATTTATATTCTTAAAGGTACATTATAGTTATTGACAAACATTAGACCTCTTATTTATTTTATATTTTATCATGTTAGTCAATTGAGAACACCTTTTAATTTGCAATGACGACCTGGCCAAAATATATTGACATAGACATGGGTGAAGTGGTCACAAATTGTACCCACATAAGAGTAACATTACTTCAACAAGTAGAAGTTCGAAGAAGTGGTTCAAGAAAGTACTCAAGGAAGGGTAAAAAGTATTTAGTAGTCTGATTTATAACAAAAGCTGGTATTTTCGAAGAATAGACACAAAAAAGCAAAAAAAAAAAAACAACTATGTCATATCTGAAGTAGCGGTGCAAGAAACACCAAGAATCACCTTTAACTTGCTTGTTGTTGTATTTAATAAACGATTGGAGTTCAGCCTTTTTACCAATAGTAATTACAAAGCATAAAAACTACGACATAAAGTTAGTGTTAGTGAGGTTTAGCGTGAGCCTCTTGTTGACTGGAGCCGCTCTCTGCCGGTGCACTCCGGTGCGGTAGGCGGCAGCACCACCGCGGCGCGTTTCCTGTGGATCTTTTTGGTCACAACACGGAGAGGAGGAGACAGCCCTGGACCGTCGTCGATCGCCTTTGCGTGACAACACTCGGATTGCGCTCAGGCTTCGGGTAATTACATTTATATCAAATGTTTGTGTAATGTGAGGAGAGAGGGGAGGCGCACGGGGCTGTTTGGGTGCTTTTACGCGCTCTGGGCCGCGCTGCTGCTGCGCGCTTTGCACTGAGCTCTAACACCGTAACATGCCAATGGAGGCTGCAAGCAAGATGGCTGGGCGCAGTCAAATGTAAAATATTCTTGCTAAGGTTTAGTGTGCGCACACATAAAGAGCGCTGTCAGGGCGCTGCAGTCGGTTAAATGCATGTGTTAAGTTGTAAAAAGTGCGTTATAAATGTGTTGCACAGTGGTAATAACAGTTTGGGAGTTTGCGCGCTCTCGGGCCTAGTGTTTTTCTGAGGGATTTGTGATCACAGCGGCTCGATCGGCTCCCGGCTCATTCACTGTGTGTTTAGTATAAAGTTTGTAGCTTTTTGTTTTATTCTGACTCTTGGATGGTGTGCCTCCTCCGTTAGTGAAAGCCGCTGCTACGTTTTGGCTTTGTGCTTGTAAACAGAGTCTGTATGTTTACATTGAACCGCGGCTCACGGCTCGTCTCTGTCCGTAGGTCGACCCTTCTGACCGGCACCATGTCCGACTTACTGAGATACATCGACTACGACCACAAAGCCACGTTCCTGAAGATGCTGAACCAGCAGCGCATGGAGGGGGAGCACTGTGACGTGGTGGTCGTGGTGGAAAACATCGAGTTCAGGGCGCACCGCTGCGTCTTGGCCGCGTGCAGCAATTACTTCAAAAAGCTGTTTAAAAAACAGAGTGATGAGGACAACTCCATTGTGGAGCTGGACTTTATCCGCTCGGACATTTTTGAGGAGGTGCTGAACTACATGTACACGGCGCGGCTGGCCGTGAGGAAGAAGGACATCAACATGATGATGTCGTCAGGACAGATCCTGGGCATTAATTTCCTGGATAATCTGTGCACACAGAAGAGAGAGCTGACCAACATGAAGACCAGGGAGAACCAAGCTCCCGGAGACCATGGCATGAGGGCACAGGATGCCATCCTGAAGGAGCTGGCCATGGAGGAGGTGAGGAAGAACAGCTTCTATGACCAGGGCATGGACAGTATGGCCGCCACCGCCTCCCACGTCACCCAGCCCCACGCGTACAACACCAACATCCCCAAAGACCCCCACAGCCACGGCTGGGGCGCTGCCACCACCACAGACATGAAGCTGGAGTATTTATTGTACGGCCATCGCGACCACGGCGCTCTACAGCCTCCTGGGCCCAAACCCATGGACCATAACGCCAAAAAGGAACGTCTGCTGACCGCCAACCGGCCCTACGCCTGTGAGCACTGCCCCAAAGCCTTCACCACAGCAGCCCATCTCAAAGAGCATCTGAAGATCCACTCGGGCTTCAAACCGCACCGCTGTGTGGTCTGTGGGAAGGCCTTTATCCGAGGGCCAGACCTAAAGAGGCACGAGCGTGTCCATAGTAACGAGCGTCCGTTTGCCTGTCAGCTCTGTGAAAAGGCGTTCAAACACAAGTCTCACCTGAAAGATCATGAGAGGCAGCACCGAGGTGAGCGGCCCTTCAACTGTGGCTCCTGTGATAAAGCCTTTATAAAGGCTTCGGACCTAAAGCGCCACTGGAACACCATGCACAGT